ACAAAAACAAAAAAAAGGGGGGGTTGTCTTTCCAATTCAAGAAGACCTCAGTATTGAAGAGCCTCAGACTTTGTTACTCTTGAGGGGCAAACACCTGCAAGGCAGCATGGGTGGGTCACAATGTCCTCTCTCTCTTTTTTCTCTTTCCTTTCAAAGTTTATTTTATTTGAAGGATGAGAGTCCTACTAAGTTGCATTTTTATAAATGTTGGGAGCAAGAGTTGGGAATTTCTAGGACAGCCTCCTGCTTTCAAAGACTGGTGCTCTAAGTGTGGCATTTGGTGCATCTTATCTGAAAAGAACATTAACAGCCATGCTGCAGATGAGGATCTAAGTCAGGTGGTACTTTTATCTGTATTTTTTTTTCTTGGAAAGAATGGCACTTGGGTACTAAGGGTTCATAGTTTATCTGTTCCCTGCAATGGAACTGGACATTCTGGTACATACAGAGAGCTGTCAATCAGGTGTCCATCTCCCAGGCTGCACTGCAGCAGCTGTAGAGAAGCCTATCTTTGGGGCTTTCTTAATATTATCATAATAGACATGGTCTGGATAACTAATTTTATAAGGAAATCATTAAGACTGAATGTGTACTTTGTGCATTGTGGGTTCTGTTCTTACTCCCGTGGCTTTTCTGCACACCATTTTCTGGTGCTCATTATGGAGGCTGTTATTCAGTCTTGTTTTTGTTTTTTTTGACCATCTTTTAAATAATATTTTCCGTCCACCGATCTCTTCTTGTTTTCCACAGTTGTAAACATTTGCCATTAAAATGTTCAAAGGTCTCACCAGACATGAAGGCACAAGCCTGTGATCCCAGCACTGGAGGCTGAAGCCAGAGGAGCACCACTTCGAGGTCAGCCTGGCCTCCAGTGTGAGATCCGGTCTCAAAGGAATGAATGAATAAACAAGTTCAAAGATCTGAATTATACTCTGAAATTTCCTGAAGTTGGTTCCGTTTAGGGTCTGAGTGGGGAGCACAGACTTGTACAAGAAAGCAGGCATTGTGCTGTTTTACAAAGCTATTCTAAAGTTTTCTGGCATCTTGTTATCAGTTTTTCAGAATGTCCTGAGTGGAGGCTGAGGGTTCCTACTTCTGATAAACCTGGGGGCCCTTAACTCTGAGAGCTGACTGGCTCTCAGACAGTTCCCATCAACATGGACATGTTTGTATTTGGAACTCATAATCCCAGGAGACCTTGTTAGGCTAGCCCCAGGTGCCCAGGCTCCACATCTTTGGATGCTATCTCTGAGAAACCAGGTGAAGACAGACACCCTCAGAGGCCCACACCTTACTTACCCTCACCTGCATCCCTTCTTAAGAACCACATTTTAATTTCCTCTCAATGAGTGAACGCAAGAGGGTAGGTGGTAGACTTTGGATTCATTTGGAGGGACCATTGTCCCTCTGGCTCCTGGGAACCAGTGAGATATAGACAGGCCTGATCATTTTCAGGAGAAGTGGTGATTAAACAGGTAGCCATGGCCTTGCTAAGAGCAGAAGCCAGATGAGAAGGCAGCTAAGGAAAGACCAAGCGTAGAAGGAACCCTAGGCTTTGAGTCTAAGAGTTGCAGGTTCAGATCTCAGCTTTACCAACTTGGCAGCTTTTTGTACCTCAGTTCCCTCATGTGAAAAGGTATGACTATTTCATAGAGTTTTGATGACAACTGAATAAAATGGGTGCTGGAGGAGATGGCTCAGAAGGGCACTCACTGCTCTTGCAGAGGGCTTGGGTTCAGTTCCCAGAACCTACATAGTGGCTCACAACTGTCTGTAACTCCAGTTCCAGAAGATCCGATGCCCTCTTCTGACCTCCATGGCACTAGTCACATGTGATGTGTACATACAAACATGCAGGCATAACACTCATATAGATAAAATAAATCTTAAAAAATTACAATCGAATGAAATACTGTAGTGTAAGAAGTATTTAGCTCAGTCCCAAACACATACTAAGTATTCATCAGATTATTATCATAAGTTATTTTTAAGCTTAGCTAGCCCTGGGTTTGGTAATCAGCACAATGGAAACGCTATTGGATGTCCACTGGATCAGGTGGAATAGCACATATATGTACATTTTGCATGTGGGTAGACAGCATTTGGCAGTGGTTCTTATTTAACTTAGCAGAACAGGAGTTTCATGAAGTATCTGTTTCCCCACCTACATTTTCCCACTTCTGGTCTCCAATGTGCCCTTTTGGGAACACAGAAAGTCCACGAATCCCAACAGGTCACTACAGAGTATCCAGAAGATTTGCCATTTGGCCACACCATTTCCAGCTATCACCAACCACTTACATGTTTCTGGCAGTCCCCATCGATGGGACTCCTGAGAGCTCACCTTTTTGCACCTGTCCATGGGAGCACCTGTCTCTATAGGTAATAGTCATTCAGCTTTATGGTAGGCAGGCTGTGTCCACCTCAGGTTACAGGTGTCACTTTGGGCAATGTGCAAGCCAGAGGGCAGATTTTGCATAAGGACCTCTGAGTTGGGTGGGGGGGGGATAATTGAAGTCAAGCATTCCATCTAAATTAAGTGATGAGTTGTACAATTGGCCAGGAGATACTGGCTATGTGTTGGGAAAACTGGCCCAGGCACCCAGTGTTTTGAGTGGACAGTGAAAGAAGGGCAGAATTGACTGGCCTGGCTCTATCCGTATTCCAGAGTCCCTGGGCAGTTGCTCACTATTGGCAGAAAACTAGCCTGAGGAGTGTTACCCAACCCACGATGTACCACTGAGGCTTAATTAAGGTTAAGACAGATTGGCAGACTAATTGAGATAGCTTTAGGACCTTAGCTCACAAAGCTCACATCTTCCCTCCTTCTGCTCAGAGCAGAGTGGGGTTGAACAATGGTCAGGAGGTGCTCGGGAGGAGCTCCAGCCTTGAGGGATACGTCAGAACTGGCAAACTGGTTTAAGGTGATGGATACTTAAGACAAGCCAAGATAGGTCTGGAGATAAAATCTGAAAAGATGCCTGGCAGTTTGCGGCCAAAGAGGCCACCCCTAGCCTAGGTGCAATTTACAAATTGGGGGCCCTGTAACCCTAGCTCTGTACAAATATGGATGTTTTCTTTAGTTGGGAGGGAGAAAGTGTCATGACCACCACAAGGTACAATGCAAAAGCAGGCATGATTTCACGCCCAGCTGTACTGGCCTGAACAAACATATGTATTCACCTTTATGCTACCACATATACACTGCTTCTTCTCACTGAGGCCCACGTGCGCCTAGATGTAGCTCCAGTCACACTCTCTCCTGTATCTGTTGTCCCAGACACCTTGCATCCTCCACACATAGGCATTCCAGCATAGACTTCTGTCCCTCCCTGTGCTTACATTACACACACCAGCCATCAGATAAATGTGATCCCCTTAGGAAGCTGATTAATAAAACTATTTTATCTGTAATTACACCTGAGTGATAATAATGTCCTCAGAGCCTGCATGGTTAGATTGGCTCAGATGGTCACATCCAGATTAGAGCTGAACTCACTTTGAACTCTGGCCACACTGCTGGCTCTCTACCTCAGAGATTATAAATGCCTCTAGGTGGATTCACTCCATGGAACCAAGAGGGGCAACTAGAGTTTCTCTCTCTCTCTCTCTCTCTCTCTCTCTCTCTCTCTCTCTCTCCCTCTTTCTCCCACTCACTGTCTCTCTCCTCCCTCCCTCTCTCCCTCCCTCCCTCTCTCTCTCTCTCTTTCTCTTTCCTTTTCTCTTTCTTTCTCCCCCAGAGCTGTGTAGTTAAGATCCCTGAAAAGATGGAAAAGACTGCAGTCCCCACCAAAGGGAAGGGCAGGCAAGTTACTCCCTCCAGCTTGCTCCTGTAGGCCAGTGACAACCTCAGATATTCCATGGAGGAAGCTGCCTCACATGTTGGTTTGACCATTGACATTTGAAAATAAACAGCTTAATGTCTGGGTCTTGGGATCTTGGGGACAGACTCCAGTGAGCCATAATTAACTCTTTTAAGTCTTCACGGTGTCCTCTGCACAGTAAAATATCTAATTCTTTATGATGTAATGCTGAATGGAGGCCGTGAGGAGGCCTTTTGGGCTAATTACATGTTGGAACGAGGTTAACGACATGCCGGAGATTCTTCACATGGCTCCTCTGACAGTGACAAGTCACTTGGTAGCACGCTAGGGCCAAAGACAGCCACTGGTTTAAACAAGGCCTGTGTCCTTCCCTCACTAGCTCCCTTCCCTGTCCCTAATGTTTTCAGGGACGAAGAGATCTTCTTTTTTAAAATGACCTACACAGCAAGGTCCTGAAAGTTTGGATTGACACCCTTTTGGGTCCCCGCTCCATCATAGCATTTTACAGCACTGACTTAGCCGAGGAAGGGAATACAAGCTCACCCTGTAAGCGGATACTCTGGGGCCAAGCAGGAGGCACACCTATGCAAAGAAACAATGTGTGCAAAAGCATGCATCCACAGACACACTGGATCACAGCGAAACGCCAACTGCGTGGGCATGAGCTGCTATCTACCTGCCGATGGCAAGGCAGAGCACAGCACTAGAATCCCGTTCTGCACCTGAGTGTGTCCACATTTCAAGGTCACATGAGTCCCAGGAGAGATTCTTTTTCCATCCTTCCATTTTTGAATCACTTGCAGAGCTGCCTCCAAGGGACCCTAGCCCAATCACAAGCATGTCCTGTCATGTACATCTTTGCTAACCCCATATTGGTCCCCATCCTGGTGAGGTCAGTCAAATGAACCCCACTGTTAGGCTGGGTGGAGGAAAATCCCCAGAAAAGACCATCATACATACTGTCTGAGGAGGGGGCCAAGCCTTTAGGGCTGGCCATGGACTGATGGACTCATTTGTATGTGGAAGAACCACTGAGTTTCCTGAGCATCTGCTGGGGGTACCCTCATTCCCTCCCCCCAGGGAAGGAATGGGACAGATCTAGCTGTGATCATGGAATGACAGTCTCTCAAGGTCCCCTCCTCTTTCAGCATAGTCAGACCCACACACAGCACTTACCTCAGTTCATTTGTCCCGCCAGGCTGGACTGGACTCAGGTCCTCTGATGTCATCTCCCTGCCCTGTGAAGGCCCTGGCTGGATGGGCAAGGGCCCCTCCTCCTCAGTGAGAAGGACACTGCATGACTGCTTCCAGGCAGGTGGCACCTCCTCTGGGTGTCCCGGCCCTAAGCAGCCTCCCAGGTGTGGCAGGGTCCTGGAATGGCAGCTTGCAGCTGGCTCCTCCACCTCCACAATGGCCAGCTGTCAGCAAGAGGGTTAGGCAAGACTCTGGCTCTCACTGGAGCTTCATAAGAGAGAGAGAGAACCCTAGAGAGAGGGCTGCTCCCTGGTTACTGAGGCCCTTGAGTGCTACCTGTGACAGGCCTGTGGGCTCCCAGGGAGGTGAGCATTGGCGTCCTGAGGAGCAGAGGAGAAATGTGTCAGACAGAGCTCGTCAGCACCTCAGCACCCTACCAAATAGTAATTATCCAGCCTCGTGCCACCTAGAGAGGGAGGGCAATATTTTCATCCCCATTTTATAGAAGGGTAAGTGGAGGCTTAGGGAGGTCAGACAACCACTTTAGCCAGACAGTCAGCGCTAAACTTGGCCCTGAGGGAGGCTGACTCATAGGTTACTACTGGAGCTTGGGTGAAGCCAGGCGTTTGGGGACAGCCATAGGCAGGCCTGCTCTGCGGCAGCCGGGGCTTGGGCAGTTGTGGAGGTCTGCTGTCCTTTGGAATGCTCCACAAGGCTCTCTTTCTCAGCCAGCTCTGTCCCTTTCTCATCTTTGTTTAACTCTGCATTCTGCTCTGGCTGTTTGGGCATTTACCTACATTACTCACTCGCTCCCCACTCAGGGAGCAACCGCCCCAGCTACTGTTCAAAGAAAACTTTCCTTGGGCAACTGGGTGAGTAGAAACTGCCATTCATATTTTCTGCTTGGCACTCACAAAGCATATTTGCTTATTAAAACTCCCGAGAGGTCTTCCAGAGAAGGAACCGGTTTCATTTTGTTAGCCCAGCACTTCCTACATTTCTCTGAGCAGCTTTTTCTAGAGTCATCAATGAGCATAGACCAAATAGCTAGGACTTTAACCAGCACCACATTGGGAAATCCCGAGAGGGACTGTCACCAAGACCAGGGACTGTGCCTCTTCCACCAGCGTGTTCCCCACACCACCTACCTGTGGCAGGCTTAGCATGGTGGGCAGAACTCATCACATCCTCTCATCTCTAGTTTCTCAGGCATGGCGCTAATAAGTTGTCTTTCATGTACGTTCCCCGAAGCCCTTGTGTGAAGCCAGCCATATATGGTGGTGACTTCTTTCATTGTGATGTCTAGATCTCATATCTATTCCTCTTTTTTCTTTCACAGGGTGGCCTTGGTCACCCTCCTGTCAAGGTGACCATGTTGCTCAACCCCATGCACGTGGTACTCCCAGGGACCACACAGTATGGTCACCTCCTTTATGCTCAGCATCCTTATTTTACTTTAGTCTTCTCATAGTGTTTCTCTCTACTGAACACTTATCTATTTATATATTTCTTTGCATATTCACCATCTCCAGGCTATTGGGGAATTGATATGTGGTCTAGTCATTGCTGGAAAGGTCTATGCCAGATATGGTCCCCTGTTTGCTTTCTTCATTCCTGGATCCATACTTGGGTTGCAAATCTCTAGCCTCAGGTAGGAGTAGAAGCAAAAATCTAACTTGAGCTCTGCCTCACAAGCTGAGCATCTTAGGAAGGTGAGTAAAAGCTCACTAAATATTGCCTTTATTCAGTGTTCACAAGGGAGTTTTTGACTTGTTCAACTCTGTACTCGTGGGTTATGCTCACCCACAAGAAACCCCGTGTCTCAGCTTCCTGTGTATTTGTACAAGGAACCCAGTGGGATAGCCTCATTGACTCGTCTATAAAGGATAAGCTCTGGGAACTGGGTAACCAATCATTATATTGACTGTATCACTATTTGGAGCCCTTATCCAGGCTTCTCTCACAGGCCTAACTGAATTGAGCACCACAGACACCTGTGTTGAGAAGGGTCCCAAGACCACAATCAACAGCACAATCAATGTTGCCATACATGCATTTATTTGTGTGTGCATGCATTAGCCTTCTAAACTGGCCACCGGGGAAGATGAATGTTGCTAACTCAAATGGGATTAAGTGGTATGTTTCATGCAAGGACTTCTAGGCTGGAGTCCAGGTAATGTAGCTCACTCTTGGGTGCCCAGGCTCTGAGTGTGTCTTAGCCATGTTTCACAAGAAGGAGGATGAAATGACAGAGAGAGCCCTTCTTAAAGTCATGACTTTCACATTGCTTTTGGGGTGAGCATAGGGGCTACAGAGTAGAACAGAGGACATGAGTGGGAATTCTTCATTCATTTGGCCTCTGGGTGAACACAGGAAACCAGGGTCTGTTTCTACTCTACACCATTGCACTGTAGGAAGGTTTTAGCTTCCTAGCTTTATGGGGATGGCTATTAGAGTGAGGGTAGAAAAAAAAAAGACAAGGAAATGCCTTTTAATAACATCTGAAATTAGCAACAAAACCAGCAAATTAAAAATTAGAAAGGAAGAGAAGTCACCATCATTTCCTTGAATGAACACATGCTTTCTCCAGGGAGTTTGTTTATCTCTCCAACAAATATTTATTTTGGGTCTGCCAGGAACCAGGCACTGGGCATTGGAGCTAAAATAATGCACAAAGCTATGAGTAATGAGGAAAACCTAAGACTTAAAAAAAAAAATTGATTGCTGAGTGTAGTAGGCTAACAGCTACTCCCCTAAAGAGGTCTGTCGCAATTCTCTGAGATCATTGGATGGTCCACAATGAGTGATGCCTCTAAAAGGATCTTGAGAAGGCAGAGATCATCCTGAGTTACCTGGTGGTGGGGAGGGGAAGAACAGAAGGAGTTTAGAGATGCACAAAGGAGAAGGTGAAGTGAGAAGGACAGGGCAAAACCACCAATTAAACGAGGCCATGAATAGAATCTCCTTCAGGTCCTCAGAGAGGGATGGCCGCACAGAGAGCTTGACTTATACTGTTTGGCATCCAGACAATAAATATCTATTGTAAGGCAACAAATCTGTGATAATTGTTATGGCACTGTTAAGAATCTAATATATAAATAAATACTTACCAGTGTAGACAATATAGACCAAAAGTTACCTGAAGCCACTGAGATCTGCAGTCCTAAAACACATTTGTGTTTGTTTGTTTGTTTGTTTGTTTGTTTGTTTTGAGGCAGGATCTCTCTAAATAGCCCTGGCTGTCCTGGAACTAGGACTAGGCTGGCCTCAAACTCACAGATCCGCCTGCCTCTGCCTCTGGAGTGCTGGGGTTAAAGGTGTTGCTAGGAAGCCCAGCCTAAAGTACATCTGTAACCATAGCAGTGGAGAGGAAGAGAAAGGAGGCTGCAGTTACTGGCCAGCCAAACTCACGGAATTAGTGAATTCTAGCTTCAGTTAAGAATAAGGAAAGAAATGAAGTGACCCTAGTTGTGGTGGCTCACACTTTTAATCCCAGCACTAGGAAGGCAATGGCAAGCTGATCTCTGTGAGTTCAAGGTCAGCCTGTGTGTTTATATCTAGTTCCAAGCTAACTAGCCAGGGTCATACGATGGGTTGGGTTTAAAAAAAAATAAATAAGGAAATAAAGAGAGGAGGGATTGAGGAAGACACTTGACACCAACCTCTGGCCACTACACCTATACACATGTATATGTTCCCATGAATATATACAGGAACACATACACATCACACACACACACACACACACACACACATTCACACACACGGTACACATCCACACATAACACACACACACACACACACACACATTCTGAACACCTTTCTATGCCTTTTGCCTTTCACTCTAATTTTAATAACTTCCTCCTATGTTGTCCGTGCATGTGCTGCCATTCATTTGAGTGCTAGACGTTTTGGTTGTTTTTGGTTTTCTACTGTCATGTACATTGTTTGCATGGCCTTTTAAATAGTACTTCCTGGGGTACAGCAAAGGAGGGCACCCCATCACTATGCAGAGTACAGAGTGAGCTTCAGAAGCTGAGCCAGCTCACCAGTGATGGACAAGAGTCTCTGAGGATGTGGGGAGGCCAGACCAAGCTTACCAGCTTGAGGGAGTGACTTTAAAACCCACAACACTTTTTCTTTTTTTAAATGAATGGGATTAAGGAAAGATTTATGTTCAAATGAGAGAGCAGTAGGGTGTTTTCAAATTTGGATCCAGAGACAAATAGAAGACAATGGGCAATGTAGATTTATGGGTATGGAGTGGTAGTGTTGCTGCGAGTACACATTGGTTAGGAGCTGCCTATTGTTTCAGCCCTGCCCTTTCCCATGGGCTGAAGCACCAACAAAGTCATTTCCTGTATGAAACACATTTTTTTCCCCATGGAGCCTTGGGTGGCCATGTGGGACTTCAGAGGGATTTTGCTATGTTACCAAAATGACCCATAGGAAGGAATATGAATTAATTTTGCAATCAGGAGAAAGATAGCCTGTGTTCCTTTTCTATGCAGTCACTGGCTACTCAGTTATTGTGTCTTCATATTTTCATTTGTGGGAAGGTGACCTGCAGTGGAGGAAGGAAAGAAGAATGGATTTGAGCTTTAAAAGACAGAGAGTGAACTTTGAAGATGCCTGCTATAACAGGAATACCTTGAAGACATTGTGCTAAGTGAAAAACACCAAAAAACACAAACAAGGTGCAACTCCCCTGACATGAGATACTGGATGGACAGATTTATAGAAACAGAAGGCAGAATGATAGTTAATTACTGGGCTGGGGCAGAGAGGGGTTATTTCATAGATGCAGACTTTAATTTTGGAACATTAGAATCGCTCGAGGCAGATGGTAGTGATGGATTACAGCACTGTGTTGTGAATATACTACATGTCACAATTTGTAAATTTTATTTTATGCATTTCTTACTCTGTTAAAAAAAGATAAAGAAATGGTCAGAACTAATCAAAGAATTCTAGGCAAGAAGATGGGTGGGGGAAGAGGGTGATAGGGAAAATCAAAAGCTCATGTAGACAGGAGTAATGGAACAATGACTCATGTGCCAGGGGCTGGGTCAGGTGGTTGAAAATCTGTCCTCTCTCTGTGATTGTGTCACCATTGGACAAGGAAAGAGCTGAGGTTTAGTGATATGTAGGATCTTCCCAAGATAGTTGTAAAGTACAGCTGGAACTCAGACCCAGGTTAGACTTGCCCAGGGTCTCCTTTAGTGATATTTCCTGGTCACCTTTTGCTTCCGTGTTTCCTTTGCATTCCTGTAGCACTTGATCCACTTACCAGCTGGTTCACTAGGTC